TTTAGCTGACTGGCGTAATTGCATTATTGAAAATGATAGGAAACATACTGTGAGTGTTATTTCTTATTCGTACAAATATCACATGATTTGTATTTATTACGTTTATATAATGTTCTGAGACTTTACGGTCACTTTGTACGTACGTAATTTCGTGATTACACTACGTATGAACTTTAATCGCTATTCGCTTACTTTGGAGATAAATATTTATTATAATTATATTTTTATTTATTGACCATAAAGAATATTTATATAGTAATTTTCATATGCATCGAATTTATATCAAAATATTTGATACACTAAAAACAATATTACAATCAAAAATTAGGTAGTAAACAAATTCTTCTAATAACACTAATTTCCTTGTGAAATAAATAATTATTTTTTAGGATAAAATGTTGATACTAATAATTGATAATTCTAAGTAATCAAAGGAATTATTTGACTTCACATATTTGATCTTTAAATGAGAAAACAGCGCATTCCCTTTACGTTTATACACAAAATTCTATCTTTCTGTTTAAAAGGCGAAAGAAGATTTATTTGATCTAAGCTAATATCAACTAAATTAGAAAACTGAAATTTTATAGACGAATTTAGAGTCTCGTATAATTTATCTCTTTATAGAAGAATTTAGAACTATTCTTCTAAACAACGTCAATTTATCTGGACGGAAGTAGAGATACATATTTGCATGAAGATAGCAATTGAATTTTTCAAGGAATTCGATGAAAGTCTTTCCTTAAAAAACTTCAAAAATATTTTAAATATAAATCTAATGAAAGAAATATTTGTCTAAATCGTAACGTGATCATCTAGATGCTGTCGTGCCTATAATTTGGCTATGGGAAGGCTGCGGATACATCTTAATTAATAAAAAATCATCTCTGTTAGGTGGCGTTGATTGAAGCACGAGGTGTGCTTACCTTTAATGTAGAGCTTGTTAATTAAACCCTTTTAATTAGAAATAAAGCTGTTTTGTTGTCAAAGGATTGCGATAATTGTGAATAGCATGAGAAATTAACTCGACAGATGCTACATATCAGCTTATACAATACAAATACTCTACACAAATGTAAAGAGATAAGAATTAAAAAAAAAATACGAATGATAATCGAACAATTCAATGGAAAAGTAGTACTTGTAACAAAAAATTTAATTTGAATATGTCGTGATAAAATTAAATGTTTAAAATAACATATTACTCTTAAAAATGAAATAGTTAGATTTAATCACTTACATATTACTACATTTATGTCTAATTTTGAATTAATATTTTTTGTTTTATTAGAAAAAAAGGTTTTGTAATTTTCCGGTATAGCCTATTACTTTTCTAAAGACTACCTTGATCCTTCAACTCTTGATATTATCGAATTAGACAACTGAATAACATTTTGAAACAAACAGCATTAACCGAATAGAATGACAATGTCACTCTAGCTCACTAACCTTCCATGAATCTTAAAAATAGCATTTTGTTTTGAATGCATTGGAAATTTCATTGTAAAAAAAAGTTTCAGAGAGATTTGTTAGAGTAAGCTCGTTATTAACAAGAGACATTTAAAGCTATTTACTAAATAAATTAAAAAAAAACTCTATTGTTTTAGTAAATGAAAGAAAATGTTGCTATTTGTGAAAACTCTATTTCTTATATTATTATACAGAAATTCCAATTTTCCGTTTTGATTCCTTTTGAAATATCATTCTAAATACATTCTCATGTTTGATTATTTATGCTTTTTTGTGTAAACATTTAAATAATTTATTTAAAGAAAAGCGAGTTTAGGTATATCTTTTAATTAGTATTTTACATAGAAGGCCGTTTTTTATTATTTTTTATTCATATACTTAGTTTACACTGAAAGAAAAATGCTGATTAAAGGCGAAACAAATAATTTATCAACGGAAAAAATAAATATAAAATAAAAAAATATTTTTCTTAACTTGGGTTTTTTTTCTATGACTTTAAGTTTCTATGACTTTAAGTTTCGTAATGTTGTATTAGATAAGATTACATCATGTACAGTACAGTACCAACTTAATTGAAACATTTAAACAATTGAAACATGAAATATTTTCATAAAGTAAAAATAAAAAATAAAGAAAAAATATGGATAAGGTAAGTTAAAGCTCATAATTTGTGAACTGAAAGAAGACTCGAATTTTTAAATAGATGTAAAAGAGCAATATAATATTTAAACAAGATTTAAAGAATTAAAAAAAAAATACGAATGATAATCGAACAATTCAATGGAAAAGTAGTACTTGTAACAAAAAATTTAATTTGAATATGTCGTGATAAAATTAAATGTTTAAAATAACATATTACTCTTAAAAATGAAATAGTTAGATTTAATCACTTACATATTACTACATTTATGTCTAATTTTGAATTAATATTTTTTGTTTTATTAGAAAAAAAGGTTTTGTAATTTTCCGGTATAGCCTATTACTTTTCTAAAGACTACCTTGATCCTTCAACTCTTGATATTATCGAATTAGACAACTGAATAACATTTTGAAACAAACAGCATTAACCGAATAGAATGACAATGTCACTCTAGCTCACTAACCTTCCATGAATCTTAAAAATAGCATTTTGTTTTGAATGCATTGGAAATTTCATTGTAAAAAAAAGTTTCAGAGAGATTTGTTAGAGTAAGCTCGTTATTAACAAGAGACATTTAAAGCTATTTACTAAATAAATTAAAAAAAAACTCTATTGTTTTAGTAAATGAAAGAAAATGTTGCTATTTGTGAAAACTCTATTTCTTATATTATTATACAGAAATTCCAATTTTCCGTTTTGATTCCTTTTGAAATATCATTCTAAATACATTCTCATGTTTGATTATTTATGCTTTTTTGTGTAAACATTTAAATAATTTATTTAAAGAAAAGCGAGTTTAGGTATATCTTTTAATTAGTATTTTACATAGAAGGCCGTTTTTTATTATTTTTTATTCATATACTTAGTTTACACTGAAAGAAAAATGCTGATTAAAGGCGAAACAAATAATTTATCAACGGAAAAAATAAATATAAAATAAAAAAATATTTTCTTAACTTGGGTTTTTTTTCTATGACTTTAAGTTTCTATGACTTTAAGTTTCGTAATGTTGTATTAGATAAGATTACATCATGTACAGTACAGTACCAACTTAATTGAAACATTTAAACAATTGAAACATGAAATATTTTCATAAAGTAAAAATAAAAAATAAAGAAAAAATATGGATAAGGTAAGTTAAAGCTCATAATTTGTGAACTGAAAGAAGACTCGAATTTTTAAATAGATGTAAAAGAGCAATATAATATTTAAACAAGATTTAAAGAATTAAAAAAAAATAAAAAATAAAAAAAATAGAAATTTATGATAAAATTATTTTAAAAATTTTACTTTATTTATTTTCTATATTTATTAGAGAAATCTGTATTGAATAAAACTTTGATCTACAATTAAAAAAAATTAAATTACAAAATTGGCGATAAAGTTTTACATGATGTAAAATAAGTTGTGTTGAATTGTTAAAGAATAATCTGATAATAATGCATATTCTTTAGCAATAATATTCTACGCAGCAATGAATATGTTAGTTATGTAGAAATCTAATTTATATAACTACTGTTTTTGTTTAGAGAAGTTTATAGTGTTTCTCCCAAAAGTATTATCATATCCCAATTATCAGCGCATATGCAGAAAATTATTTGGTTTTTCTTAAATAAGATGATAGTTGTTGATTATTTTTTGACATCATTTAGTATATATTCGGAAATTAATAAGGAAACAATTATAATAAATAATATTTAAAAATTGAAATAGAACTAGGAAAGGAATGAAATAGTCTAATTTAAGTTCATACAATACAGATTTATACAGGGAACAAAGTTAAGGAAAATAATTTTAATCGATCATTTGTAAATTTATAAAAGGAACGAGAAACCAACATAGACTAAGCACACAATAATAATTAAATTGAACAGTTGTACAAAAATATATATGTATGTCATTATTTTAAAAATATTTTGAAATTTCTTTTTATATAAACGTTAAAACTATTTTATTTTCATGTCATATTTTATGATAAACTTTAAAAAAAAAAAAAACTTAAAATGACTTCCGATTAATATTATACAATATATTTATAATATTTTCTGAAATATTTTACATTTTTAACAAATTTTTTACTTGTTAATAACAATTACATTACATTACAGTATTTAAAAAAATGAATATTGCATTTAAACGTTTATATAATGTTCTGAGACTTTACGGTCACNGAGTAAGCTCGTTATTAACAAGAGACATTTAAAGCTATTTACTAAATAAATTAAAAAAAACTCTATTGTTTTAGTAAATGAAAGAAAATGTTGCTATTTGTGAAAACTCTATTTCTTATATTATTATACAGAAATTCCAATTTTCCGTTTTGATTCCTTTTGAAATATCATTCTAAATACATTCTCATGTTTGATTATTTATGCTTTTTTGTGTAAACATTTAAATAATTTATTTAAAGAAAAGCGAGTTTAGGTATATCTTTTAATTAGTATTTTACATAGAAGGCCGTTTTTTATTATTTTTTATTCATATACTTAGTTTACACTGAAAGAAAAATGCTGATTAAAGGCGAAACAAATAATTTATCAACGGAAAAAATAAATATAAAATAAAAAAATATTTTCTTAACTTGGGTTTTTTTTCTATGACTTTAAGTTTCTATGACTTTAAGTTTCGTAATGTTGTATTAGATAAGATTACATCATGTACAGTACAGTACCAACTTAATTGAAACATTTAAACAATTGAAACATGAAATATTTTCATAAAGTAAAAATAAAAAATAAAGAAAAAATATGGATAAGGTAAGTTAAAGCTCATAATTTGTGAACTGAAAGAAGACTCGAATTTTTAAATAGATGTAAAAGAGCAATATAATATTTAAACAAGATTTAAAGAATTAAAAAAAAATAAAAAATAAAAAAAATAGAAACCCGCATCTTCTAGAATAGGAAATATCATATGATTGGGATTCTTCAGGAAATGAAAAATAATGAAATTTCATTAAAAAAAATAACAGAGTAATCCGTCATTTTAAGTGATAGGATATGTATGTTTCAGAATGATCACGCATCATCTGAATGACACAGAAATAAAATTCATGATTAATGATAATATGTAAAATAAACCGTCATTAAACTGACGATTTTAGATAATATTTCCCTCAAATTTTCACGAAATGCTTTGAGAGAATATATATATGGAATAGTTGTTATTGAATATTGAGGTGAACAATTAGACTGATGATAATTTTTCTTGTTTCACGTGATCCATCATAAAAGCAACAGTTTCTTCATTGCTAGTGACATGTTCGCAAGCAAGATGACCTAAAACATAAAAAGATAAATAAATAAATAAATAAATAAAAAGATACTTGTAAATTTAAGCAAGAAAGAGTAACTAACCATTCTTTTTCTCGAAATCATCGTTGTCATCTGTTTTCTTCAAGCAGTTACGTTTATATATTTGATACGAAGCGCAACATACCGTCACAGTTGTCAATAACGGTATGGAATAAAGCCAGGGGAAAGCAAGGATATCTTTTTGAAGCTATAAAAAAATAAATAAATAAATAAATATAAATTGTTAAAATTAAGAGATATGTTAGAAAATATGTAAACTTTATTATACCTTGAGAGGAAATGATAAAGAAATAACAGTAAGGGCCGTGCCAATATTCTGAATGCTGCATTCGATGGCGATCGTTTTTCTTACACAACTTGGTTGTCTGAAAAGTGCAGCCAGACCGTAACCAAGAAGCAAACCCAAACTGGGCAAAGTAAATAGTGCAACGTAAAATTGCCATCCGATTCCGTCGAATATATCAGGAAATACGATTAGTTCCATAGTTTGACAGATAAAAATAATGGCGAATCCCGCATAACTGCCGATCTGTAAAGTATAAAGAGATATTTATGTCATTTATTTGTCATAAATTTAGTAATGTCGGAAGTTATTATTTTAGAGACACAATGCGTAGCGATTATTCTAATCGTACCAAGCGGTATCACTAACACAGGTCACGTGACAATGAACAATAACACAGGCGACCTTCGTCGGGGAAATGCACGGAAAATAGTTCCTTTCTCTCACACTAGTAGCGCTAATAGTAACAAAGGTTTTTAATAAACGGGTCAGGGTTAAAACTTTCTCAAAAATGCTAAAAATAAATTAATAAATAATTTTATATTATAAACAAATTATTTAATTTACTTATTTTTCCATTTTGATAATATCTTACTACACAATATTAAAAATTACGTGCTAAAACCGTTTTGGGTTTTAAATCACGGGTGTCGCCATCTTTTGAATAATTAATCAACTAAAAATATCTGAATATTCATTATCTACACTTGAAGACAAATGTTTAAATTGAGTTTCCTAATATTTATGAATATAAACCTATTGTTAGAGGTAAAATATGTAAACGAATTGTCCTTCAAAAAAACTGGTTTAATAGCAAGAAATACTCAGGGTGAACTTGATCGTAAGCAATAATTTGGTTTAAATCTTTATAAAATAAAAAAAAATAGTAATAATTTTAAAAATTTGACTAAAATTTATTAATCTGAAAGGGGATTGCTCAATTTGTTTATTCCATTAAATTTGAATTAAATTATCTTAATTCGAATGAATGAAAATTACCTTAGTGACATACGGTGCCATTTTTGGTAATTTCCATCGAAACAACATTCCTGCTGCTACGGGGGTAGTAACGGCGGCCAAAGAAATAGTCATTTTGTCATAAGGAATAACCATTTTGCTAGTTTGCAAGCTGCTACTGTAAAGCCACATGTTAAATGGCATCATTCCCAAAGCCACAATAGTCGAACAGGTGGTCATTGTAACGCTGAAAAAAGGAAAATTTACATTAAAAAATTACATTCATAATCGATATTTGATTACCTGTATTCTATAATGATATTTCTTTTTTTAAATCAAATGTTTTTAGTTCAATTCAATAGCAATGAAAACTGTAAAGATTTTTTCTTTTAATAAATACATTTCTTAATCATGTTCACGGACCTTAAAGGTTATCAATTATTATTTCAAAAATAATTTTCCAATAATAAACATTTACTTAATGCGATAATTAAAGTAAATAAACAACAAATATTTTTCACGAAAACAAATGTATAGAGGAAGAATTATTTATATTTTTAACGATTACAATAGAAATTTTTATCTCTTGAGAGATGTTTGTTTTAAAACTTTAAGAAAAACTTATTTTTTAAAAGTTTTATTCAAAGTATTTTTCGACAAAAGTAATTTGATTGATATAGTTTACTTTTAGTTGATTAAGTTAAAAATAAAAAAAATAATAAACAGCGCAAATCTTTGATTGGTACACATAATATTAAATAACTGTTAAGACAGTTTTAACATACAGTTGTTGCAAAATCATCAAATTAAGAGTACTTAAAAAATAATTGTTATCAATTAAAACACTTAGAAAAAGTAGGATACGAAACGGTCTAAAAAATTAACAGAATAATATCTTACTTTGATTTATATTGAGCTATTTAATTTTGTAGATATTTTAGTTTAAAATTATTTTTAAAAACATACATAAAGTTTCAAAGAATTTTCAAATATATATATTATTTTCTAAAAATTCTAAAAAAAATGTATTCTATATATATATATATATATTTGATTGACTTAAATATGTGTTTATATATATAATTATTATAAACATAGAGCTGAGTCATAAGTAAAATTTTTAAAATGTATGTTAAAGAGCTTATCTACATCATAATATAAAAAGCAAATTATTTTCTTTTTGTCTAAAAATCCACAATATCAGAAAAACGGTTAAATCAATTCTAATCAAATTGATTTTAAACGTATAAAAACAAATTGCATTTAAAAAGACTGTTGAGATATCCTGCTTTCTTTTGCTTTTATGCTTGGAAAGTATTAAATAAATTCAATTTTTATTTTTTTACGAACTAATTGATTTTTACTTTATTTGACTTACTTTTCTTGTGACGAAATGATTTATACTTTTATAAATTGATTAAATTTTTAATTAAAGATCTGCTATAATCTTTTCTACTTTGTGTTATGTTGAGTTATAAATAACTGCATTTAATATATGTCTTGGTTGAAATAATGAATCATAACACGAAAGGTAAAGAAAAACTCGCTTTATAATAAATTAAAAAATTTGAAAAACGAAAAAACCTGTTTGAAATTTTTTTTCCCTAATACTAAGTCTACAGTATAAGCATACAAAATAATTTATAAGAATTCAGTGCTGTAAGATAAATAAATCATTTCCTTTCTTTAATAGTTATTTAATTTTATATCAATTATCACACGTTAATAAAATACGAATTTTAGTATTTAATCTATTCCAATATTAATAATTGTCTTTTTAATTAGAAATAGTTATCAATATTTATCGTGAAGAACTTAACTGTATACTAACGATTAATGTAGAATATAAATGTAAGAAATAATTTTTATTTAAAATTATAATATTTTTTTAATATTTTTATTTTATATTAGCTTTTCAAATATAATAAGTTAATCCCTTTTGAAATTGTCTGTTAACTTTATATATATAAAATAAATATATATCTCTTAATTTTCGTCTTATAATTTTATTTATTAATTTAATAATTTCAGTTTTTAAATATTTGCAAATAATTTTGAAAAGTACACATGAATAAGTATAACTTGTTGCTAAGAGCGTATTTTTTAACAGGTTAGAAAGAATAAATGTTTCTCTAACATGATAAAGTTATATGCTATTTGTCTACCTTGAATATTTTGTTACCCTTAGATTCCCTGTATACCCTTAAATATATATATATATGAGGTCAGTATTTAGTTATAAAATGAAATTTAAATATCAATCAATTAATTATTTTCTTATAATTAATGGAAAGAAAATTTTTAATGGTAAGTTTATTATTCTTTTAGTTTACAAATTTTTTGGAATATAGATATTATGCTTTATTATATTGAATACGTAAAAAC